TTTATTAAAGGCGCTAAATAGCGTTTAAGCAACTAATGTTTAGACTTGTGGCAGCTGCCTTTCTTCTTAAGCATGATTATCATCTTTTTCTTTGTTGTCACTTGTATTTTTATTTTCACTTCAAACAATTGCATTGTGACCACAAGTGATATTTCAACGATACTGTTGCCTACTTTCAGGCAGAATAAAAAAACGCACAAGAAGGTAGTCAAACTTAATGAACGTTTGGTCCATAAAAGAGTACTATTAATAGTTGACATGACAACTTTAAACTTCCGAACTTTATTTCAATTTCTTTAAAAATATTTTCATAACTGCAATAAATAATAAGTAACCACAAAGTTTTTTTTAATGAAATATAAAATGAATGGTTTGGTTTTTAAATTTAAAACTAATTATAGTTTCCAAATTATAAATATTAAATAACAATTTATTTACCAGATTTTTAAGTGCCGACAGCAACATGTTGCTGGCGTAGTGGCAACTTTTGCTGCTGCTGCCAACCGTTTCATATTTATTGGCTACCGGCTTGGCAACACATACACTCGTACACACCTGCACAGGTGTGCAGACATCACCCATCTTGCTCTCTCCTGTTGATTTTCCCGCCTGTTGCTTCATCTTCGCAAAGAAGAAACAACAAAAGAAACTCTACGTTTTTTTTCGGGCCGTCTTTAGCGTTTTTTTTTGTTTTCCACACACTTTGCTATTATACAAGTGAGTTTTTCGTGCTTTTTGTTCTCCAAAAACTTTAACGTATAGTCAAAAGTTCAAAAGTTTTGTTTCGTTTCATTGATGTAATTGTTGTAATAGCTGCAGTTGTGTGTGGCCATTATGGCAACTTTACCGTTAACATTCAACGAAAATTCATTTCATAGTTGAAGACGCATCGCTTGGTAAATACAACAAACAATACTACAAAAGTTAAAAAAATCATAGTTTCAGCTTCATAAACATTAATAAAAATTGAAGAAGCTCTAGCTCTCAACTCAGCACCTTGATCGGTGATATATGTGTGTTGAAATATGTGTGTTTATGCACACCGAGAAAATATTGTGACATAATCAGTATGCCGAGTTTAAAGTAATAGACTTCATAAGTGAAAATAATATAATAAAAGTTATAAATTAAATACTTATTTGAAAGATTCAGTTAATTCACACTAACGTTTTCTATATTCTAAATCATTACTAAACATTTGCTTTATCGGTTCTTGTAATTGTTTTATTAATATCCAAAACATTCTCTGTATTAAGCGCTATTAATACTTAAAAGTAATATAAAATAATGCTTTTATTTTCTTTTGATTATTTAGTTTATAAAATTTTATACAATTATTTGCAGTGTTTGTTTATGTTGCTCAAGTTGTCGTCGTTTCGCTTGGCGGCTTCTGCTTTGTGGAGCCTGCTGCTTTGCTCTCCATTCTCTCCACTCTCCGCTGCTACAATTAAGTTTTACTTTATGTTTATGGCCTCTGTGTGTTGGAAGTTGTTTGTGTTGTTGCTTTTCTCAGCCAGGTTGCTGCTGTCTGGCTAAAAAAAATTTCAGTTGCCATTTCAGTCAGTTGGCTTTTAAACATTTACTGAAACAGTTCGCGTCGCGCACAAAATTAATTTTTTTCAAAGGAGAAATAAATGATTAGAAATAAAGAAATGCATATTACCAAGTTGTTGTGATTTAATTTGTGTTTTTTAAATAAAATAAACAAAAGTTTACATCTATAACTAATGCTAGAAGAAGATCAAAATAGTTATAGCCTATGGAAAATGTTTTCAAGATGGCGTCGCTATTTGCCATTGTGTGAAAGCAGACTTCAGATATTGCAAAAATAAATAAATAAAAATATATTGCTTCAGTTGAGATTACTAGAAATAAAATCTTGAGCACAGGAAGCTCTGAGTGTTTTATTCGAGGGCCGCTTTAACGGTAAAAGCCGCTCAGCATCGCTGAATGGGGAACGCTTAAAGGTCAACAGCAAGCAGCAACAGCGGCAACAACAACAGCAACTACTATAATAACAAATAACAACAACTGCAGATTGCAAAAAGGAAGCAACCGAGAAACCAGTTTGCCAACAACCTGAAACTTTAGTTCAAAGAATTGCAAATCGAAAAAGAAGAAACATAAAAACCGAACAAGCGATTTATGTGAAAGTGAATTGACACAATTACCGCAAGATATCGTTGAAGAGTGGAATTTTTACTGAGTGGAGTCTCCGAAGTCTTCACCACAGATATCCCCTGAAGCAACTATGATGCTTTTATCGGCATTGAAGCTGGGTAAGCTGGATGATCGGGGTCTTAAATACTTGTATTGATTTCGTCTTTCATTGAGAGCTCATTACAGAATACCAAAGATATATATCTCTATAGAAAATATGTTGCTTAAACTATTCTAGCAGGGTGTATTTTATTTATATCAATTTTATTCAAATATAGTTGGCAAATTTAAAGTGCCCACTATATTTTTAGACCCTGATCTTGTTTGTAACTTTTGTGGGCGTTTTCTTTGCGCTGGTGTTTTTGAGTCATCGACCAAGCATTTTGATTAGTTTCACCTGTTTGGAATAACTAATAGAGAACAAAGCAGCAAACACGTGTTTGAAAGTCTTGCAGCTTTTGATTTTCACAAACACTCGGATCGAGGTTGAGCACCAGCTGCAATAACAATACTCGCATTAACGGCAATAACAAGAATAGCAATTTGCATAACAAATTGTTGGCAGAGGAGGGTTAAGAAGGGTGGGGTAAGGGGAGGAAAAAGCGGAGCAAAAACAAAGCACAATTACACAATTAGCTATAAATACCTTTTACAGCGGTAATGACAAAATGTTGCAAGTGGGCTTGGAAATGCAACGCACCTGTTGATGTGGCATACACTCACTCGAATAAGTTTGCATACCTCCACTAACTCCTGTTTCCATTTATGAGAAATTTATGAAAGAGCTTTGACTTGTCTATAAATGAAAAATTTACTTCCGTTTGGAAATTTTCAAGCGTTTGAAAAATGATTTAAATACTCAACTGGCTGTGCGACGGAAAAATCCAGTTGGGTAATTAAAAATATGAATACACTGCTATTTTTAAAGGAGTTTAAATATTTTAAATGCTTTTAAATATAAGGCATAATTTAATTTAAACGTTGTCAGAACTTAAAATATATACATTTTATATTATTATTATTATAATATTTATTATAGTATTATATTATTTATTATAAAGGCTCTTTGTTATAAAGAAATATTTTTTGAATAAACTAATCAAAATGAAACCATAAAATAAGGCAGCCTTTCGGCAGAAGTCAGACATCAAAGATTGCAATTTTCTTATTATAAGTATATGTATGCAGAGGAAATGCTTGAAGCGCTTTTCATTTGCATGGAAAATGGCCAAACAAAAGCTTGAACACGGCTTTAACAACCGGCAAGTGTGCGATTGTGTGCGTTCGGCTGGGAAAGAAAGAAAAACTTTCTATTTTTGGTTTTAATCTTGCATCAATGCAGGGGCACGAGTACTCAACTGCTGTATTGTGTACGTAGCTGGAGTGTTGCCTCCAAGGCTTTTGTCATCTTTTGCCGGCACGTTTTCCTCGTAACGCTGTTACTTGACTTGTTTGTGAGAATGGGTGGAAAAGGGGGCGGGGCAGAAACAACAAGTTTTCACATGAAAAATGTGCGCACTACGGCTTTGTGCTTTGTGATATTGAGAAAATTGCCTTATCAATTGAAAGTCAGTGGCAGCCAGTCGCAAACTGCAGGGCAATTTTTCTCTTACCATATTTTGTATCAATTTATTTATATATACCGCGAGTTGGGAAATCGTTAAAGCCGTAGGCAGTCACTTTCGCTTCGCGATTAACCTTCACTTTTTTTTTAGCCGCTCGGCGCTCGCGATTCTCGAGCAGAGGCGCCTACCTGAAGCACTTCTCCATCCGCTCATCCGATCCAAAGTGGATTCCGAGTGGCAGACAGGCACAGAAAATCCAAATATCAGAAAATAAGAGCAAAAAGCAAAATGTGTATCATGAGCGCAGGTTGACTCATTTGCTGAGGGCGATTGCATAAGAGACGCCCACTCAACTGCCGAAACTCGACTGCTCTCGACTGGCATTTAAGTTTCGTTTATTTATCTTTATTTATTTTTTCTTTAATTGGGGTTACACTTTGAGTTCACTTTGAGCTAACGTTATTATTATTGACGGGCACTTGAAAAACCCCAGTTGGCAAACACTGAAATCGCTTTAAGCCGAGCAAAGTCCAGCTCATCAAAAAGCTTTCCAATGCCCGGTGTCTTTGATTTATCTGCGAATTGTGGGCGACTGAGCGGGCGCCTTGAACCATTGAAAATCTTGTCAATGTTCAGTGTCAGCGCTTGGCCAGCGCCTAATTAATTATCACCTTGACAAGAATCGCAAGCCAAAAAAAAAAAACCAGACAGCATAAGGCGATTTTGCGATATTTGTCTATGGCTAATTAATTGGACAGCCCTGGGGCCTGAAAATGTTTAAATTTAGATTTGAGTGTAGTACATGGGTTACTAATGTAAAATACCAAAGTCGTGTTTTAAAATAATCTATGTATATATTTTTTTGTGATGATCATATGACGTGAGTCTGAAAATATTTGATTTTTTTATTTAACAAATAAATGTACAGTAGTTAAATATTAGTTTTTCAAAATTCTTGTATCGTATTATTTTGAGAGTGTCTTAAATTAAGGTGACAAATCAAATTTAGTTTTTGAATAACTGTATTTTAAATTCATCAATAATATTTAAATATTTTTTAGCGACAAATATTTGATTTTACTTAACACATTATGTGACTGTCATTTCTATCACCAAACAAAATACTTAGACAACGAGCTCTAACGATTGTTCAAATTAGTTTGTAATTATGGCCGACTCTTTAAAGATAAATAATCGCCACAGTAAACGAAAGACTTAGGCAACGAACTTGAACATGTTGACTAACATTTTTGTTTTCTCTTCGTATTCTTGCAGGCAACGGCAGTTCTCCAGCCCAGAATTCAACGCGCAGCATCAGCCCCAACAGCTCCACGACCAACAGTCAGTTCAGCTTGCAGCACAACAGCTCGGGGAGTCTCGGCGGCGGAGTGGGCGGCGGATTGGGAGGCGGTGGCAGCCTTGGCCTAGGCGGAGGAGGAGGTGGCGGCAGTTGCACGCCTACATCGCTGCAGCCTCAGGTAAGTTTCGTGGGGACATCGCCCCATAAATAAACTCGCATCTAATCAACTTTCGATTCGATTTGAACAGTCCTCGTTGACAACTTTCAAGCAATCCCCAACTTTATTGAACGGCAACGGAGCTCTATTGGATGCCAACATGCCTGGCGGTATACCCACCCCCGGAACACCGAATTCCAAAGCCAAGGTGAGCATCATCTTCATAAATTCATTAGAAACTGTTTTTAAATTTAATTTCTATGCCAGGACAATTCGCACTTTGTCAAATTGGTGGTGGCCCTCTATCCATTCAAGGCCATCGAGGGCGGCGACTTATCGCTGGAAAAGGTAAGTCTTACATAAATCCCATTAGTCTGTGAATGCATAGTAATGATTTGGATTTGCTACCAGAATGCCGAATACGAGGTTATCGATGACTCACAGGAGCACTGGTGGAAAGTCAAAGATGCCGTAGGAAATGTCGGCTACATACCCAGCAACTATGTCAAACCTAAGGCGCTGCTGGGCCTGGAGCGCTATGAGTGAGTAAAACGAGCTTTGAAAACAAGAGAGAACGCTATAGTCGGGTGCCCCGACTATCAGATACCCGTTACTCAGCTAAAGGGAGTGCGAGGGAGATGGAGATAGAAACTTTGATCACGCATAACTTTTTAACGAATGGTCCGATTTGAAAAATTTCTTCTACATTTCGATAGGTATTGATAAACTCAATAAAACTGCATTTTTACTTTTCCGAAATATTTAAATTTTTAAAATCGTATATAAGCGATTGTGGGCGTTAAAGGGGGCGTGTCACCAGTTTGAAACAAACTTGCGCTGCGTAGGAACTCCTAGAATCTGCATGCAAAATGCCAATCTTCTAGCTTTTATAGTTTCCGAGATCTCAGCGTTCATACGGACGGACAGACAGACGGACAGACAGACGGACAGACGGACAGACGGACAGACGGACATGGCTATATCGACTCGGCTAGTGACCCTGATCAAGAATATATATACTTTATAGGGTCGGAAACGCTTCCTTCTAGCTGTTACATACTTTTGCACGAATACAATATACCCTTTTACTCTACGAGTAACGGGTATAATAACAAAATTTAGACGACAGCATCACAAAAATAATTATAAAATAGTATCTGTTCGATGTAACTGTTGTTGTTCAAGATAAAATAATTATTTAATCGAATTTAGTTTATTACTAAATAAAAAAAAACATGTAATTTATGTTTATTCACTGAAACTGTATTATTTTTTTCTAATGATTGTGATTTATTTTTTTAGATGGTATGTGGGCGACATGTCGCGACAGAGGGCTGAATCCCTGCTAAAACAGGGCGACAAGGAGGGCTGCTTTGTGGTCCGCAAGTCATCGACGAAGGGTCTCTACACACTATCGCTGCATACCAAAGTGTAAGTTGAAATCACATTCAAATAACAAATATAATTATTAATTCCATGTTATTTACAGTCCACAGTCGCACGTGAAGCACTACCACATCAAACAGAATGCCCGCTGCGAGTATTATTTGAGCGAGAAGCATTGCTGTGAAACTATTCCGGATCTGATCAACTACCATCGCCACAACTCTGGGGGATTGGCCTGCCGACTCAAATCCTCGCCCTGCGATCGCCCCGTTCCACCGACGGCGGGATTGTCCCACGACAAATGGGAGATCCATCCGATGGAGCTGATGCTGATGGAGGAGCTCGGATCGGGACAGTTTGGTGTGGTGCGGCGCGGCAAGTGGCGTGGATCGATTGACACGGCAGTGAAAATGATGAAGGAGGGCACCATGTCCGAGGATGACTTTATCGAGGAGGCCAAGGTGATGACCAAGCTGCAGCACCCGAATCTCGTGCAGCTTTATGGCGTCTGCTCCAAGCACCGACCCATCTACATTGTCACCGAGTACATGAAGCATGGATCCTTGTTGAATTACTTGCGCCGGCATGAGAAGACTCTGATTGGCAACATGGGTCTGCTGCTGGACATGTGCATACAGGTGAGCAAGGGCATGACCTACCTGGAGCGCCACAACTACATTCATCGAGATCTGGCTGCCCGCAACTGCCTTGTGGGCTCTGAGAATGTCGTAAAAGTGGCCGACTTTGGATTGGCCCGATACGTTTTGGACGATCAGTACACCAGCTCTGGTGGCACCAAGTTCCCCATCAAATGGGCGCCGCCCGAGGTACTCAACTATACTCGCTTCTCGTCCAAGAGCGATGTGTGGGCATATGGTGAGTCTTATTGGAATCCATCCCCATTAATTCCGTGTCTTATTAATGTGTTATCAACTGTTTTAGGTGTGCTGATGTGGGAGATCTTCACCTGTGGCAAGATGCCGTACGGTCGCCTAAAGAATACCGAGGTTGTGGAGCGTGTGCAGCGCGGAATTATCCTAGAGAAACCAAAGTCGTGTGCCAAGGAGATTTATGATGTAAGTGCATTACCGTTGAATAATTGGAACCTCTTCTAATTATTTATTTTCGTCGATAGGTCATGAAGTTGTGTTGGTCACATGGACCCGAGGAGCGTCCCGCATTCCGTGTGCTCATGGATCAGCTGGCTCTTGTGGCCCAGACGCTGACCGACTAAGCAGCGGAGAAGATTGCGGCACCCATCGCATGGTATCAACACGCACTGAACACACTGAAGCATCTTTAGATATTGAAGAACGTTAAAGGCATTATAATTAGTTTACGGATGCGGCGAGAAGAATGATATATTTAGATTTATACATACATGTATATGAACCATAAGATTTAATTAAGCGCGAGCCAGTTTACAATTACGGCACGAACCCCATACGATTATGGCATACTTGGATTATTTGATAGAGCTAGAGCTGCGCGAATGATATCATTATGTTTATAAACGCGTTAACTGTTAGTCGGTGTAGATACCAAGCGCAACAACTGACAGTCACATATAGCAACTATATTAAAAGAGAAAACGGAAATGCATTAAAGTATAGAAAACTGTAGTTAATAGTCAAATTTTTGATACATTTCACATACCGAAAGCAAATTACAAAATTATAACGATACATGCATATGATATGATATTTAAATGTGCTTTTTTAAATAGCAAGCTACTGTGCTAAGTAAAATATAATTATCTCTAAAGAATGATAGAAACAAACAAACAAGAAAACTGATTAAGCATTAAATACTAAAATGTAAGCCTCAAGTCGAAAGCGAAATGTTTGCACAACTGATAAAGGATGAAGGAACCGAAGGATGATAATGGAAAAGTTCGCCAAGGAACATAAACAATTTTTAGACTAGATTTTTACGTGCTTAGTTTAAGTTTTGTGATTTATTGTTTAATTTTTGCAGACGATTTCTATTTTTATTTAATTTTGATCTTGCGATGACTTCTCCCACGCTCAAAGTATGAATCAAGTACGATATAAATGCGAGAAATTTATACCATATGCTTTATATTTTAACTGAATTCTTTCGTTTTTTTATGCATATACTATATAAAGATATATAGGTATCTATACACATATTTTACCGTATTTTTATGAAAGTTTTACTTAATTAATTTTATAATTTGATTAAGCAACCAGAAATACAAAAAAGAAAACGAAAAACAGAAAATTAAATAAAATGTACGATGAACATTTATTTACCTCCCCCCTCTTACTTTTATTACTTTGCGAAATTCGAAGACTGCGAGCACAGAACTCGGTTTCACACCAAAATGTTTGCGAGCCAAGATCAGACGAAAAGAATTCGAAGCAATGAGAACAGAACCAAAATAGAAGCAACTCACATAGACTTATAGCCAGACTATACAAGATAGCAAGAACTGACACCAACAGAAACCAAATCAAACAGCAAGTCAAACCGAAACACCAACAAGCTTAACCAAAAGCGCATTTTGTACAACTTTTGATACAGCATTTTGATACGAGATTCGAACTATACACAGAAACCGCAAAGGTTTGTCTATGTTTATATGAATGTGGTAGCTAGTAAGCGTCCTTCGTACGACTATATATAGCATTAGGCGATCCACAAAAATGATAATGTCTATCTATGATGATTCCTCTTGCTGAGCGAAGGGCAGATTGGAGATGCAGTTTCCTCCTGCCCATCCGCAAAATCCTTGCAGTAGCCACTATCCAGACTAAGGTCAACATATGCAATCTACAAATTACACTACTATCTTATAATACGCGGCTTAGTTGATTTCTTGCGCCTATGCATATAGAACTATATATATACGATAAACATACAAATACGAAATACGTTTATTGCCATGAAACCCAATCCCAGAAAAAAAAAAAAAACCAAAAATCATCAACGTGATATTGCTAATAAAAGAACCGAAAATACTGCTGGCCTCAGATGTTTTATGAATAGTTGGGCTTCAATTAAAGTACAAATGTGAAAACTGCAACTGTCTTCAAGGTGGCGGTGACATGTTGTTAACAATATTCATATCACAGCCAGCTTTGAGGAGCGTTGCGGTCTTTCTATTCGTTATACAAAAAACTTTAAAGACTTTGTAGCTATTTATTAAGAATAAATAATAAAGTCTTAAACAAAACATTGAATTAACATTGCTACATAGCCTGAAATTATGCCACATTTATGATGACGGTCTGAACTATTTATATGTATGTTGATTTTTGATTTTACAAATATTATTTTATTTTCTTTTATATTGCCTACTATTGGGATATTAATTAATAAACAATAAAACGAAATTAAAGTATATTATTAAAGTATATTTTTAATTTACATAATCATGGTATGTATCTATTTATTTTGGTTTTCAACTAATATTTAAAACTTTTAATGATTCCAAATAAATTGTTTTGTTCATAAAAATTATGCGAGTGCAAACAAATAATAAACTTATTGACTAAGTCATTTGATAAGACTACAAATTCCAAATAGTTGACTTATTTTCTATTTGTTTGGAGTTCACATTTTGATATCTCTTGAATAATAAAATTAGCAATTTGTTTTGATTAATAGAGATGCATATGGTTGTACAGTCATACCTCGGTATGATTTTTTTGAGTAATCATTTTAAGCTTAATAGTTTTTATAAATGTAACAAAAAATGCAACAATAATATTTTGTAGTACATTTTCAGAAAAGGTTGGTTAAAACACACGAAATTGGTTCTGTATAGTCTCTCAAAATCAAAATTATTGTGGTTTCTGTGCAAAATGGTCATGCTCCATTAGTCACGTGTGTGGGTGAAGGCTGTCTGTGTTCCACCGCACCATTTGTGCAAAAATAAGGAGGGTTGGAGGGGCGGAAAGATTTGCCGGAGGCAAGATCGCGGTCTCACATTACATAACCACAATCAAGCGGCATTATTTGTTGTGAGCACCGCCATAAATAGGCCTCCCGATGAGCGCAAACCCATTCGAATTACAGATAGTCAATGAGCCATTAAGATACGATTGAACTGTGGGCAGGAGTCCGGGGGCATTGTCCATGTAAGGTGACCTTCCCCTAGATATGACTTTCTCAATATGTAAATGAACCCCAAAGACCAATTAAATGGAAATCGTTCTTTGAAAAGATTTATTTGGCTAGGGAAATTAATTCCGTTAGCACTCCCAGAAAGTTATTTAGTATATTTTCTCACAATGTTGTTATCCCATTTAATCAAAACTTTTCTAAGCAAAAGTCAATCGAGTTTTATTTGTATAAAAACTTGTAAGAAAAAAAGCTGTTAAAAAAAGAATAGTTTTTCGATGTCACTTTTTTCTTTAGTTTATTTGTTTCTTCTATCAAATCCAAATCTGATGATTATATTTTAATATATTTGAAAGAAATATTCCGTAACAAAAACTAATTAGTGCTTTTCTAAATATACATATTATAAAATGTCATTAGACAAGAGTAACTAATTTCAAAATGCACCCAAATGAGAACAGCAAGTTTCTTTAAACTAATTAAAATTTTCGTTTAAGCCCCGTTTGAGAAACAAAAAACTCAGGCCACATAACAGAGCAAGCCAATGTTAGTCATTACGTGACTGTTAACGCCAACGCAAAGGCTTGCGTTACGTCTTGGAGTCACTAACGTCGAAAATTTGAAACGAAAAGCGAGCGTTAGCGACTTTGTTCCGCAGTTTCTGTTCGACAGCCCTCGAGTTCGGTTCTAGCTCTCTCTCACCTCAAATAAACTCAGCTCACAGCGGCCAATCGCCATAAATAAATCAGCAAAGTGTAGTTTGTTTTGGAAATTTCAAATAAATTTCAATGCGAGTCAGAGACCGACACTCAAAAGCAGCTGTCACTTGAACCCAATCAACGAACAAATCAACGAAATAATAAATCAGCCACGAAACCAACTACAATAACAACGAAAATAGCAATCTCTTCGAGTGTCTTTGAGTGAACAGATGTTTTGAAAAACCGCCGAAAACCGCGACTAATCCTGGAAAGGACTGTTGGCAATCGAAGTAATTGGCCATCCGATTAGGTGAAGTTTTTTACTGTGCAAAAGAAAGTTACGAAAATCAAAGCATCGAGCATCGAGCATCGAAGCAGGAGGAGATACGCCCGATAAAGGACTAGCCTGCGGTAAGGACAAAAAGTGGAGTAGGCGTTAACCAAGTCTGAGGCCCCAAACAGCCAGTGGATTGCGTGCTGACCCGACCCGACCCAAAAGTTCATTGACTGTCTGACTATTGGCATTTCCTGGTGGCCTAGGGCTAGAGATAGGGCTAGAGAGCTAGAGGGCCCCCAGTCAGCTGTTCCGCCCCCAATCCGCAGTGCTCCTCCCATTGTTTAGTCAATGGCACTCTCGTATTGATGTCACTTGTTGGCATAGATGTAACCCTTCCGCAGTCTCGCCGGAGTTTGATACCTTTATGTCTGTTTACCCCGTGGAGCCCATGACATCAGCTCCAATAACCGGTCGACCCCCCGACTCAGCTCATTTTTCAAAGTCACTGATTATGGCAGACACAGCGCCCGCAAAAAAGCGTTAACCACACAAAAATAATAACAAAGTAACCAAAGGAAAAGGTTAATCTCCCAAAGGGGAGAGGGTAAAATGCAGTAATCACAAGATAAATATTTATAAAATGATCTAACAGGTATTTTTGTGTTTCAATATGCAAATTGTGTCAGCTCTGTGATCTCAGGTCGAGAAGATGGCGTACTTAACGCATAAATCGTTGGAGCGGAAGCGAATGTCCCATTAAATTCACCACAAAGAGTCGTAATTATTACAAGCCATTTGAAATTTTAATAGTGCCTTGAGAACCGCGATCCAGTTGTTCGGAGAAGGTTTGCCAATTTTTCCCTGCCTCATTTCCCAGCTTTCTCTTGGTTTTAACAGCCAGAACACGTTCGCTGCAGAAAACCGAGAATGTTGAGCAACTTAATTAGATTTGGAGATCGCAAACTAGTTCACACAGCTGACGTCAGTCATTCAGTCGTTCTTGCCGTTTTATCAGACATGAGAGTTCAGTTTGGTACGTTGATGTTTTGGCTTTGATTCTCATGTTATTGTTTTTTTTTATTCCCCCACCATTCATTTTGGCCTTTTGCCGGCTGCTCACTTGTTGTCTGTTGGTTTTTGGGGAGGAATTGCTCAACTTGTTCGCTGTTAATTAAACTTATACACAGCGCCACTGTCTAAGGCGAAAAAGTCAATAGTTAATAGAGACAGCACACGAATTATGGCTACATGGCTACATGGCGGAGTCATGGAGTTGCGGCTCTGCGTGGGTCGACCTGCCGTCTGGAAACCCAATTCCGAACTGGCTTTTTCGGACAACTCGATGTGGGCTAAAGGAAACGACTGCGCCGCCGTATTTGGGCGTAAAAGCCTCCGAGATGGACGGCTGGAAATTGTCTAAATTTTGGGAATGAGCTCATATTTAATTTGCCATTTGGAGAGCGTGAAACGAAGTCAAAAGAAAATAAAAACGTTTTCAGTGAGTGATTGTTGATCATGTCAGATACCGATACCCAATATACATTTTGCAAGGGGGTATACCAATTTGGACTGTATTAGTTTATTAAATTCTTTTTACCAAAACAAAAGTTTTCTTAAAATTATAAAATTAAAATTTCTTATATAATAGAAAGTGATTAATGTTTTTGGCGTATATATGTGTTATTTTAAAGCTCAAATTTAGACGAAAAACGAAAAGTAAATTAGTCTTTTAGTTATATCATGTTTTTATTTCATTAATTATTATTTCAAGATCATATTAATTATTAAATAATATTAAATACATCTAATTATTTTCGCATACTCCAACAGGGTATTTCTGCTTTTATACTGTCTAAAGCTAGCGTGTTTATTCATATTTTTAAACTTGATACAACAAATTAAACCTGACGTGTGCTAAATTTAGTGTTGTCGTCATGGGTCCACAGTCGGGTCAATTGTGTGAATATCAATTTAAATCAAATAAAAATAAGGCAGCATAAACAAATCACTGAAGGTCATAAAGATAATGCTGAAAAATTGCACAGTCTCTCACAATCAGTATCTCTGTAACCAATCATGAGAGCCAAGGTTTGTGTTTGAAAAAAAGCTAATAGAAATATATATAGAGAGAAGGAGAGATAGAAAGTCGAGTGTGTGGGCGGTGCTGTTCTGCTTTGTAGCCAGTTTCTAAACGCTGACCCCAGTGCATAGATTATCGAACATCACCATCTATAATTTGATTACTGAAATCTGATCGCCACATGCAAATTTATTGCATGAGCTAACGCTCTATTAACTTGATTAACTGCGACCTCTTAGCCGGTCTCCCCAGACTGCGTTCTATTGAAGCTACACTTAGGAAAATATCAAGTGACTGGAATAGGAAAGAATTCAAGAATACGAAAATTCCATATTTGATGGAAAAAATTCAGATATACAAGGAACATAATATATTACCATTAAAGGAAGCCAAACATCATATTAACATCTTATTTATTTTTTGTAGTATTGTGTGTTGAACTATACTCCTTTTATTAGTAAAATGTTATACTATGCTTTTTCATGTGCATTATTTTTTTTAAAATTTTTTATTTACAAAGAGTCTTGCTGAACATTGATCTTTATTTTGATAGCACTTCATTTACTTAAACAGATTTCTTTCAATGCAAATATCTGTGGGCAGACAACGGCCTAAGAAACAGTGTCTGACAGATGTCTGACTTCTGTTGGCTCAGCTGCCGGCTCTGATTCATCCGATAGATAGATTTTCAGTTTTCTTAGCTGATCTTGGCCTCGAACAGCAATTGAACATGATGTTCGGTGTGTGGGCTGTCCAAGCTCATGATGGTGATGTAAGAGCTGCCATATAAGACCAGCCAGCTGATGATTGCCTTGCAAACAGAACAATGTTTTTTTTTTCGAGTTGCATGCGAGGTCAGGAGTGAATGTGGCAAGTGGCAAGTAACAAGTGCGGCAGGAGCAACAAAAAAAAGTTATTCTTGGCCGGAGAGCGACGGCTTTATTGGCCCTGTTAACAGCCACGCCACGCCCCCAAACATAGTTGTAATTATTTACACAGCCTGGCGAATTTTCACGGCCACCAAAAGTGGCACGCTTCGCTTTTCTTTCGGGTTCGACTGCGAGTTTAAGTTTGTTTTTGTTTTGGTTTTAGTTTTTGTTTTAGTTTTAGGTTTGCCTTCTTGGTCCGTCATGCAATTGTCGGCCATAAGTCATTAAAAGTAATCGTTTTGTTGGCTTACATGCCCCACAAAATGGGCAACATTAGCACTTAGCATACTTCGTTTCGTTTCGATTCGGGGCGCAACCTTGTTGACCAGGCCCCCTATTATTTGTGGCGCAGAACCCCCAAATCTCGGCGAGCCGTCAAGACCAAATCCGGCCCCATATCGATTACACTCCCAGCCCAGGTGAAAACTGGAGGTGGAGGCCACTGGCTCCTCCTGATACCAGCCGGCACCGTCTATTTTCCGATGACTGCCAGCCAGTCAGCCTGTCGATGGGCAACACTTCGCTTCCCGTGTGCTGAGCTGTGAAAAGAAGGTCGTCACCCAGGGCAGCCGAACCGGCTGTTTCGGGAATAAAAATGCTGCTAAGGGGGTCCTCATTAAAATATTTACTACAACCAACTCTTTACTAGCTGGAAACTTTTTTATTATTTCTTTTGTTAGCTTTGGCTTTGGGAGCCAACATATGTTTGTATAATATACTACCGTTTATTATGTAAATGATCAGCTTGCTTTTATATTTTCATTTACATTTTTTTTATACAGTACTTATACGGAAATATAAAGTTAAAACGTTTCCTTATAAATTATTAGAGTTAAAATCCCAAACAAGCATATTTATACTTTGTAAAACATATAATGCTAAAACATTACAAGTTTGACTTTGGATATCTTTAATATTTTGTGTTTTAAAATTGTTTTAAAGGTTCCAGATTATATACGCTTGATGTTTATATATCCATACTTAGGCATCCGGTATTGATCTTGAATTTTTCTATATTTTTGGGGCCTTTAACCCCCCTCAAGCCCTTGTCCCTGCCACTGCCAACTGAGACTGACGAGCCTACCGCAAAGTTATTGCCATTGTTTGTCTTTCACGCGGCGCAACAAATCCGCGGCTCGAAAGGAAACAACCTGCAACAACAATTGAGCAACAGCCACTGCAGAGAAAAGAGTGACAGCCGCCACACGACACGCCCCCTCCACTTACCAGCCCTTAGCCCCCTCCCCCTCCCCCTTTCCTTTTGTGGGTACAAGCCCACACGCCTGCCCATTAGCCGCCCCACGGAATTGGCCCAGAAAAATTCGAAAGAACAACCAGCCCAGACGATTGATTTTTGTGTCATCGACTGGCAGTTGGAGCAGGGAGGAATTTGGATTATTAGGTTACCCAAATTTAGGGGTCGAACTATAGATTTCAGTCAGCCTAACCACCCATGTAAAAGTCATCGTTAGGAGTTCGAATAAAATTCGAGTTTTTATTCATTTGGGAAACATATACCCAACATTGATAGATTGTAAACCTAAGACACCGCAAGATGAAGAAGGTTATTGTTCTCACTCAGGTCGGACCCCCGGTGAAGAAAAAGGATTACGATCCAGGTCCCTGTGCCCGCGTGCGAAAGATTCGTCCAATTAACATGGGCGGCAACGTGGAGCAGCGTCCTTGGACGCCAACAGTCCGCATTGGCAGGATCGCAGCCGAGACCACCAATCCAGGTCCAGCCACCGTCCAGCTTCCGACGTTGATCGGTGAGTGTAGTAATTACTATGTATAGATCTTATAATCATACCTGAAATATAACTAAAATAAAAATGATATAAATGAAAATGATTTAATCACAAACAAACTAAGCATACTCACCATACAATTTTTATACCGCATATTCATTCTCCTTATTTAAAATAAGTTTTTTGATTTTATAAAGACATTCACACATTTTCTAAATTTAATATTTTTGAAGTTTTAGTCTTAATAAATTATGAAAATGTAAAGAATTTGTACACATTAAATAAGGGTTCAATTAAAAAGGGCAATAATCTTGGATTTACTTTAATATTGTTATACAATAATTATGTATATATTTTTTATAAACATACAGAAAAGTAAACCTACCTATGTGATATCCTTAAACGGTTACAAGGGTTATTTTATTTATATTTTAAGCTCTATTAAAATTACCTTTTTTTAAACTAAGTATTATTAGTTGGATTCATTTCGTTTTGTTAATCCAATGTAGCCTTGTGGTTCTCTTTTCATTAAAAAGTGCTTTTATTAATACCATTTTTTTTATAGGTAGCAAAGTGCCGGACTCGAAGAAGAAGGCCGCCCCCTCGTACTCCTTTGGGCACAAGTTGGGCGGCAAGTACGACACCTCTGGACCGGGTCCGGCCCAATACAATGTGACGGGGATGCGGGCAAAGGGAAGGGACTATCCCAGAGCAGCCACTCTGCAGAGCAGGCCCAAGGAACTGACCCGGTTCTCGAATCCCGGACCCGGCGAATACGACGTGGTGCCGGCGGCCAAGGCGGTGATCGATGCCACGCCCAAGTACACCTTTGGCCAACGACCGGCCACACTGAAGACGTTCCAGATTCCAGGTGAGTTTCAGGCTTCCTACTCTGGTGTTTGAATGGTGTTTTGGACTTGGATATTGGAGTTGGATTTGAATTCGCATTTGAATTTGGCGCTGAATTCGGTGTGTGTTTCGGGCTGCTGTTGTTGTTGCATGCGCGGACTCAGGAAATCATCAATCATGGATCCCCATTGTATATAGAAGCGAACTCATTAACTAATCCGAACCCATGCCAGTTGTATCTTCCTGCAAGCAGCGCGTAAGTTGCTACCGCCCCTCTTTCCCCACTTTCCTCCACTTTCTATCTCTATCTCAGTAGCTAGTGTAGTAGTAGCCACTTTCCGTAGCTATCTCTTTCTTATTCTTCTGTATCTTTGGATATCCTCCTGGATAGATCGTAGCTATGACACCCTGTAATGTGCGTGAATGTTTTTGCTTACCTAGTGTTATTTTTTCAAAAATCTTTTGAGACTTACAAAATTTTTTTTTTATGTAAATCCCAAAAAATTAATACAATCGAAATGTGAATCTTCATTAGGTTTTCCACAAGGCTAAGAATAATTTAGAAATACCTTTGTAAATTTTTTATTTTTATACTTTTAAAAATGAAAAAAGTATGAAATAAGAAGAACGGAAGCTAACTTCGGCGAGACGAAGTTCTAATACCCTTGCAGTCACACCGAAACTTGAGTACAAAGCCAGAAAAAATCAACTTAAATTTCGGTTTTTTGATCAAAACCCTTGGAAATATTAGCCAGATCTTGGAATGTTATACCTCGTTGAATTTGTTACAAAATTTCCAATCTTTTGGTATTCCCAGCTAAAAAATTTTATTTTTTCCCAAAATTCGGAAAAAATCAAGTGTTACCCCTTATGAAAAATGCGAAAATCGGTCAAAAAATAAATTTCACCAAATCAAACAGGAATCGATTGTATAGGTTCTCAGCTGCACAGAACAGTAATTCTTTTGGCTCTGCGTCCTATTTTGGCAAAGTTACAACAAAAAACCCTCAAAAAATGTGTTTTTAAGTATTGGTTTTCGATGGCCAAAATCCGGAAAAATGTAACTCGATTTCTCGGTTTTTTCATAAAAACCCTTAGAAATAAAGGTCAGATCTTGGAATGTCATACCTCGTTGAATTCGTTACAAAATTTCCAATCTATTGGTATCCTCAGCTAAAAATTTGTATTTTGGCCCGAAATTCGGAAAAAATCAAGTGTTACCCCTTATGAAAAATGCGAAAATCGGTCAAAAAATAAATTTCACCAAATCAAACAGGAATCGATTGTATAGGCTCTCAGCTACACAAAACAGTCTTTTTTTTGGCTGGGCGTCCTATTTTGGCAAAGTTACAACAAAAAACCCTCAAAAAATGTGTTTTTTGTGACCAAAATCCAGAAAAAACACCTTGATTTGTCGGTTTTTTGATCAAATCCCTTGGAAATAATGGTCAGATCTTGGAATGTCATACCTCGTTGAATTCGTTACAAAATTTCCAATCTTTTGGTATCTTCAGCTAAAAATTTTTATTTTGGCCCGAAATTCGGAAAAAATCAAGTGTTACCCCTTATGAAAAATGTGAAAATCGGTCAAAAAATAAATTTCCCCAAAACAAATTGGAATTGATTGTATAGGTTCTCAGCTGCACAAAACAGTCATTCTTTTGGCTGGGCGTCCTATTTTGGCAAAATTACAACAAAAAACCCTCAAAAAATGTGATTTTAAATATTGGTTTTCGATGGCCAAAATCCGGAAAAAACGGCTCGATTTCTCGGAAAAAAACGGCTCAATTTCTCGGTTATTTTATAAAAACCCCTGGAAATAATGGTCATATCTAGGAATGTCATACCTAGTTGAATTCGTTACAAAATTTACAATCTATTGGTATCCTCAGCTAAAAAATGTTAAATCCCTTAAATAGTTAACTCTGGTTTCGGTTTCTGACTAAAATTATAATACCCTCTGTATACAAAGATTAGCCAAATAAATAATTGCTAGTTTTCGGTTCTTAAAATGTAATATCTATCTATCTTTTTTGATAGCCTTTTTGTTTTATTTATTGGATCTCTTTTTATTTCCTTCTTTAAAGTTTCTTTGGATCTCTTTTTATTTCCTTCTTTAAACTTTCTTTGGTTCCCAAAAAAGAACGAATTTAATGTAGGTGGAAATGTCAATGTCTTTATTAGGCCGCCCACTTTCCATTAGATTGTCTACAACTTAACTCGGAGTGATTCATACGAATTAATTATTAATGAACCAAACCACCGATGACAAATTAGATCTAAACGGAAACGGGAACCTGATGTCTTAATATTCCAACAATATTATTTTGGTGTTTCCTTATTTCCTCTATTTGTAGCTTTCCTACACAGTGTTATTTGTATATGTGTTAAATTAGTGTTTCAGTAATTTGTGTTGTGTTTTTGTTGCCTGATTTGATTTTAATTTGAAACGTTTTTCTCTTTTAATGAATGATTGCCCTGGCAAATTCGAAACTCAGGCCCCAACCATTATCGAGTGGTGCCACTTGATGTCGTCAAGCGGCGAGCCCCACGATACTCCTTTCGCATTAAGGTTAACGTGTACTTTGTTAACAATCCAGGTAACCCAACTAACTGTCTCTAGCCCAAGTTGCGTTTTTTTTTTTGGTGTTGGTCTAGCTCCGCTCCCTAATTTCCACCCCAATTCAATGCCACCTCATTACTAATTCCCGAACTATATAACCTTCTCTCTGTATCTGTATCTGTATCTGTATCTCTATCTTTCACTCACCCTTAGTCGTAGCTCACCTAGTGTAGAGTTCTCTAGTTTGATTCGAGTAGACTAAAACAATGGCCGTATAAATTTTATGTTTTATTAACACTAACAGCTCCGAATAGCTATTGCCCTGAAAAGGTCACGCAATCAAAAAAGAATGCGCCACGCTACACTTTCGGTAGACGAACTAAAATCGAACACGATCAGGGCACACCAGGTAATAATCCCCGAATCTGTATCTCCCCGTAACCGTAACTGAATCTGTATCTGCATCTGCATCTGTAATCGATCTGTATCGAGGCACCACTTGCTCAAGCGAACCCAATTGGACAGTATCTATAGAATTGTTGCGCTTCCTTCGTTTGAATCACCCAATCCTCGGGAAACCTAATTCTGATATCCTGTCCAATCCGCAGCTCCTGGCGCCTACTGTCCCGAGAAGGTGAAGCTCAACAAGACGCCGGAGTTTAGTTTTGGTATCAAACACCACGAACAGAGGCCAGATTACACTCCAGGTTTGTCCTAGTGATATATACTCAAATGTAGATTGATTCACACTTCATGCTCTCGCAACTTTGGCACTTACTTCAGCTCCTGGCACTTACAAGCCCGAGCAGGTTGTCCTAGAACACAATCCCGCCTTCAGCTTCGGCCTGAAAACCAAACACATCCAGGTCAGCGACACTCCAGGTAAGGCTTGCAGCTTGGCTTAGAGTAGTTATTGGTCCTTGAGACGCCGCTTCCATGTCCTTGCCACAGCACCCGGAGCCTACAGCCCCGAAAAGTCCCGACTGCACTCCACACCCGCTTACTCAATCACCGGAAAGGCCTCTCAGGATGTCGTCGATTGCACACCTGGTGAGTCATTAGCAATGCTCTTAAAATATCCTTTAATATGTGACATATTTAAAAAATAATTAGTCTTTTGTTTAAACAATAAGCTAATGTTTTGAAATGTGGCTAATGCCTATAATGCCATTATGCATATGAAATACATATTTTGATTGAATTTATTATGAGAATTCCTGGGCATAATCCAAAGTAGAAGTTAATATATGTATATTATTTGGTATATTTATTATACCTCGTAAGAGTTATTTATTTACCTCATATTTTTCGACCCTATGATTCTTTGCTTTAATTGTAATAAAAATTCCACAGATTATCATTTCAACCAATGAGTTGTGTATGCTTGTAAAGCTATTAGGCAGTTCAAGCTAACATTTAAGGCAATGTTTTTCCGTTATGGGTTATGTACCTTAGATGTAGTTCAAGCGGGCATCCCAGACTCACGCCTTATACCCACTTTATTGCAGCACCCGGAGCATACGAACCCGAGAAGTGTGTGCTGGGCAGGACGCCCGCCTTCAGCTTCGGCCACCGCGTGGAGCTGGCCAAGTCCAGTGACACCCCAGCTCCGGGCACCTACAATCCCGAGAAGGTGCGCATGGACCACACGCCCGCCTTCACCCTCTCCGGACGACCCGAAACCAGGTGCATCAGCGAGACGCCGGCGCCCGGTTCGTATGCCCCGGAAAGGTACCGCAACGATCGCACGCCGGCCTTCACCTTCGGCGGTAAGCACGAGCAGCGGCTCGAGAGCTCCACTCCGGCACCGGGCGACTACTGTCCCGAAAAAGTGCGGCACGATCACAACCCCGCTTTCTCATTCGCCGGTCGCCATGATTTGCACAAGACGAGCGACACACCAGCTCCCGGAGCTTATGAAACGGAGAAGGTCCGCCAGGATCACAACCCCGCCTTCTCCTTTGCCGGGCGACACGATCTCCACAAGCCCGATAGCACCCCTGCTCCAGGAGCCTACTCCCCGGAGAAGGTCCGCCAGGATCACAACCCTGCCTTCTCGATGGCCGGGAAGTACAGCCAGAAGATCTCCAGCGAAACCCCTGCTCCCGGGGACTACTGTCCCGAGAAGGTTCGCTTGGATCACACACCCGCCTACAGTTTTGGGGTGAAGAACGATCCAAAGGTGGAGAACCACACTCCAGCCCCAGGGGATTACCATCCCGAAAAAGTGAGGCAGGATCATAACCCCGCCTTTTCGTTCGCTGGTCGTCACGACCTCCACAAACCCAGTGAGACTCCTGCTCCAGGAGCCTACTCCCCTGAGAAAACCAGGCAGGATCACAATCCAGCCTTCTCAATGGCTGGAAAGCACGATCCGAAGGTTGCCAATGACACCCCTGCCCCTGGTGATTATCACCCCGAGAAGGTCAGGCAGGATCATAACCCGGCGTATTCCTTTGCTGGTCGCCATGACCTCCACAAACCCAGTGAAACTCCTGCTCCAGGAGCTTACTCCCCGGAGAAAACCAGGCAGGATCACAATCCAGCTTTCTCAATGGCTGGCAAGTATGATCAAAAGATTACCAATGGCACTCCTGCCCCCGGGGACTATAGTCCCGAAAAGGTTCGATTAGATCACACACCGGCTTACAGTTTCGGGGGTAAAAATGATCCTAGAATAGAGAACAATACCCCCGCTCCTGGAGATTATCATCCGGAGAAGGTAAGGCAGGACCACAATCCCGCCTTCTCATTCGCCGGTCGCCACAATCTTTACAAGCCCAGTGATTCCCCTGCACCAGGAGCCTATTGTCCCGAAAAGTTTCGCCAGGATCACAATCCTGCTTTTTCGATGGCTGGAAAACACATCCAGAAGATATCGAGTGACACACCAGCTCCTGGTGACTACTGTCCGGAAAAAGTACGCCAGGACCATACTCCGGCCTATACTTTTGGTGGCAAGAATGATCCTAAGATAGAGAACAATACCCCAGCCCCTGGGGATTATCATCCGGAGAAGGTAAGGCAGGACCACAATCCCGCCTTCTCCTTTGCCGGACGTTATGATCTTCAGAAACCCAGTGATACTCCCGCCCCAGGAGCCTATTCTCCAGAAAAAGTCCGGCAGGATCATAATCCCGCTTTTTCAATGGCAGGCAAACACATCGTAAAGATGGTAAATGGTACTCCAGCTCCGGGAGACTACTGCCCAGAGAAGGTGCGATTGGATCACACTCCTGCCTACACTTTCGGTGGCAAGAATGATCCGAAGATAGAGAATAATACCCCAGCCCCTGGAGATTATCATCCGGAGAAGGTAAGGCAGGACCACAATCCCGCCTTCTCCTTTGCCGGACGTTATGATCTTCAGAAACCCAGTGATACTCCCGCCCCAGGAGCCTATTCTCCAGAAAAAGTCCGGCAGGATCATAATCCCGCTTTCTCAATGGCCGGTAAACATACTGAAAAGATCTCCAGCAAAACCCCTGCTCCAGGGGACTACAGTCCCGAGAAGGTTCGTCTAGATCACACACCCGCCTATACTTTCGGTGGAAAGAACGATCCCAAAATAGAGAACAACACGCCTGCTCCAGGTGATTACCATCCCGAGAAAGTGAGGCAGGATCACAATCCAGCATTTTCTTTCGCTGGCCGTCACGATCTTCACAAACCAAGTGACACTCCCGCTCCTGGAGCATACTCCCCAGAGAAAGTGCGTCAGGATCATAACCCTGCGTTCTCAATGGCGGGCAAACATGACCCTAAGGTTTCCAATGATAACCCAGCGCCTGGTGACTACAGTCCCGAGAAGGTCCGTCTGGACCACACTCCCTCCTATACATTTGCGGGGAAAAATGATCCCAAAGTTGAGAACAACTCGCCTGCTCCTGGTGATTATCATCCCGAAAAGGTTAGACAGGATCACAACCCTGCCTTTTCCTTTGCGGGTCGACATGATCTCCATAAACCCAGTGACACCCCCGCTCCAGGAGCCTACTCCCCCGAAAAGACCCGACAGGATCACAACCCCGCCTTCTCGATGGCTGGAAAGCACATTCAGAAGATTACCAATGGTACGCCAGCCCCTGGCGACTACTGTCCCGAGAAGGTTCGACTGGATCATACTCCAGCTTATAGCTTTGGGGTAAAGAGCGATCCTAAGTTGGAGAACAACACCCCTGCTCCTGGGGACTATCATCCTGAAAAGGTTAGGCAGGATCATGTACCCGCATTCTCCTTCGCCGGCCGCCATGAAGTTCATAAGATTAGTGAGACTCCCGCCCCAGGAGCCTACTTCCCAGAGAAAGTCAGGCAGGACCACAATCCCGCCTTCACAATGGCAGGGAAGCACGATCCCAAGGTGGCCAATGACACCCCTGCTCCCGGGGACTACCACCCCGAGAACGTGAGACAGGACCACAATCCCGCCTTCTCCTTTGCCGGTCGTCACGACCTGCACCGACCCAGTGAAACCCCGGCGCCCGGAGACTACTCCCCGGAGAAGGTCAGGCAGGACTTCAATCCGGCGTTCACCTTCGCCGGCAAACACGATCCGAGACCCTCCTGCGAGTCCCCGGCACCTGGAGACTACAGCCCCGAGAAGGTGCGACTGGACCGAGCACCCGCTTTCACCTTTGGCGGCAAGCACGACCCCAAAACGGAGCACCTTCATCCCGCGCCCTGCGACTACGCCCCCGAGAAAGTTCGCCTCGACCATACACCCGCCTACACAATTGCAGGTCGACCGGCCGCCGATCCCGTGAGCCAAACCCCGGCTCCCTGCGACTACCATCCGGAGCAGTGCCACGTGGACAGCACACCTGCCTTCACCTTCGGCATGAGACTCGGACGGGAGCGCATCTCCGACACTCCAGGCAAGTTATCTCTACCAGAAATTCGGAAGTTCTGCATCAATATAGACATAGCGCTTTTCCCACTTGCAAAGGCACTTTCTTTTCTTTTTTACGTAAACTACAATTAATAGTATGTAGTATCCAGTATCAACACAGTTTGGTATTTTTGCATATACAAATTTGGCATATTTTACTATGAATGGGAGTTAAACAATTATGTTTTATTACGGAGTTTTTCCAATATTTGTATTTCAAAAATATTATTCAAAAACAGTCAATGAATTTGGTTGTCTTATCCAACCAAATTTTGTTTACATTTATATGTAGATCATATATTATATTTCGGTGATCTAAAATGATTTTTATTTTTCAACTTTTTAACCAAATGCAAAATACTTTTTATTGAAACAAATCAAGAGCAATAACTAAAAATGCCAATTCAAACAGATTTTTCTTAATGGCAGTTAAAAAGTTAAATCTTGAAAAATACACTCTATTGTGAGTTTCAAAGAACGGACATATCTTGATGAAATGTAAAGCTTTAAAGTGGGGATAACTCTTTAAAATGGTCCAAAGGATAGCACCAAAAATCGATCCACCGTAATGAGTATCGGTACCATTGCAGCACCCTCCGCGTATGAGCCGGAAAAGCACACCGTGCACTCCACACCCGCCTTCAGCTTTGGCACCAAGTCGGATATCCGCGTGACCACCGATGCCCCAGGTAAATAGTGTTCTTCCACTCCGGGATTGCCATGAATGTTGCATGTTTGTGTTGCTTATGTTGTATTGTATTGCATGTTTCCCGCTTTCCCCGTTTGTTGCCCTGTCCACCCATTTAGCCCCTGGTCACTATTATCCCGAACAGTGCAATCTGGACAGCTCGCCGGCGTATAGTTTCGGTCTGAAGACAGTGCAAACTGCTTCGCTTCCAGGTAGGTGACATCCACTTCCGCTTTTTGGTGCCGGATCCGGATGCCTACGATCTGTTTTTGTTTTTGTGTCTCGTCTTCTTCTGTTCCATGTTTGTTCGCACACATTCCCCCGGTTTTCTGGCCATGCTCCTCCCATCCGTTTCGAATCTCTGTAAATACTCACGAATCACTAGAACCCAGGGGCGTGTACATCGAAGATCGCATCGTGCAAAGACGCGAACGCCGCCTGGCCAGTCCCGGTAAGAATCTATAAGATCATCCCACCCATGCCATCACCATCACTAGCTTCTTTTAAAAGCGTTTCAAACGTCAGTTTCCGTTTAAGGTTTTTGTAGTTCTCAGATCAATAAAAATTGAGACCCAAACATTTTGGAAAATATTCTTTATATCAATGCTTGCTGTATAGATATTTCAAGTAATCGGGTATTAAGATCGTCAATGATATTGTTTAAAAACCTTGAAACGCTTTCCTTGTCATATGGAATCAACTGTGCATTTTACATTCACCCCATTGCATTGGTATACTTTTTGTCAATTTGTTAAATTTATGTCAATTATTATTTTTATAAATTGACCAACATTTTTGCACAGTACGCAACAATGCGGAAAGCAGCACCACAACCACCCAGAACAGCAACAATGCTGGTAGCAGCAGCACCACCACCACAACAACCACCACGACCACCAAGACCTTCATCAATGGGGTGGAGCAGCCGGAGTTGCAGCAAAAGCAAACCACCAAGCAGGTGAATGGCACCCACAAAGAGCTTAAGTCCGCACCACCAGCACCACTGAGCAATGGCAACCACCACTCGCGGGTGGAGACCACCACCCTGCAGCAGGTGGCCCACGGGCAGAAGGAGATCGGTGGTTTGAAGATGGTGGCCAGCGGTAAGTCGGATGCCAGTGCCACCAAGGCGGCTGCAGTGAGCCACCAGACGGTGGTGCGATCCGATGGCGCCATTGTGACCAGTGGCCAGTCCTCGAGGATGCAGACGGTCAAGTACGCTGTGGAGGCGAGCAGCGTGCAGGAGAAGATCATCAGGTAACCGGAGGGACTCAAAACCAGTGAACATTTCAAAGAGTAAAACTTATCGAAGAAAGCTTTGAGTGTGATAAAATGTGTAACCCCCAAAACGATCGGAACATTTTTTGTTTTAAAATTGTTTTTACCATCTTAAAAGTATTTCTTAATTAAAAGTTAAACAAATCTAAAAATCTTAAAATCTAAACTATTAATGAGATTAAATTAAGATCACTCCCACCCATCTCACTTTATTTATTTTAAATTAATGACAACTTAAATAAGCTAATTGGCTAATAATTATTTTCTTGTATAAGGTGTTTCACAAAATAATATATTTGAAATACTTGTCGTATGAGTAATTTTTTTTAAGTCTATTGAACTACCAGTCGAATGAGTAATTTTCTATGGTTATTGAAAATACGAGTCGTATGAGTAATTTTACTAGTTCGTATGTGTGATTTTTTGTGGGAGTCTACTTAAACTCGTTAACAAAATAAAAACATTTAAATCAAAATTTAAATATAAATAACTTATTTAATCGCAATAATTTATACTCTTTTCTATGTCAACTGATCTTAGTCCGCTCATTTTCTTGGTGTCCGCCGTTTCCGTTCCCGTTTCGTGTGTTTATTTGCAGGCACGTCATGTCAAGATCACCCAATCCAACCCGAAACTAACCCGAACCATTCAAACACCAGCCCAAGAGACAAGCCATTGAATTAACCCCCGACTAACCCCTAAACTGACCTCCCAATTGCAATAATTTCCCACTCATTGACAGCTCCTAACGTCTACAAAATACCCACTGTCATGGGCAGCAGCAAGGAGGGCAAGATCCGCTCGGCTCCGGCCTACACGATCACGGGTCGCGAGAAGCCGCCCCTGATCCCGGTCATGATCTTCCCCGGACCCGGATACTACGACGGCGAGTACACGGTGGTCAAGCCCAAGCCGCCGGTCTACTCCATGCGCGGCAAGTTCAAGATGGGCAGCGAGGACTCGAAGCCCGGACCCGGAGCCCACTGTCCGGAGAAGGTAAGCTGGGGGAAAGGCACTTACAGAAGGGGTAACAAAATATTTAAATATCAGTGGCGGATTCAGAATTTCAAAGAGAGAACACATTTTTAGTTGCATACTTTTCTGCTGTCACATTTTCTATCACTTTTAAACCGAATTGTTTCCCCTTCCGTGTATGTTAGAAATTCAATTGACTCCCAAAAAAGCTAGAAAGTACAAAAAAATATATTTATAAAACCCATTTTTTGAGGGTTTTTTGTTGTAACTTTGGCAAAATAGGTCGCACAGCCAAAAGAATGACTGTTTTGTGCAGCTGAGAACCTATACAATCGATTTCTGTTTGATTTGGGGAAATTTATTTTTTTGACCGATTTTCGCATTTTTTATAAGGGGTAACACTTGATTTTTTCCTAATTTTGGGCCAAAATAAAAATTTTTAGCTGAGGATACCAATAGATTGAATATTTTGTAACGAATTCAACGAGGTATGACTTTCCAAGATCTAGCCATTATTTCCAAGGGTTTGGATCAAAAAACCGAAAAATATAGGTGTTTTTTCTGGATTTTGGTCATAAAAAAAAACACATTTTTTGAGGGTTTTTTGTTGTAACTTTGCCAAAATAGGACGCACAGCCAAAAAAATGACTGTTTTTTGCAGCTGAGAACCTATACAATCGATTCCTGTTTGATTTGGGGAAATTTATTTTTTGACCGATTTTCTCATTTTTTATAAGGGGTAACACTTGATTTTTTCCGAATTTCGGGCCAAAATAAAAATTTTTAGCTGAGGATACCAAAAGATTGGAAATTTTGTAACGAATTCAGCGAGGTATGACATTCCAATATCTGAACATTATTTCCAAGGGTTTTGATCAAAAAACCGAAAAATTAAGCTGTTTTTTCTGAATTTCGGTCATCAAAAGCATGTATTTAAAAACACATTTGTTGAGGGTTTTTATACCCTTGCAGAGGGTATTATAATTTTGGTCAAAAGTGTGCAACGCAGTGAAGGAGGCATCTCCGACCCTATAAAGTATATATATTCTTGATCAGGATCACCTCCTGAGTTGATATAGCCATGTCCGTCTGTCCGTCTGTCTGTTTCTACGCAAACTAGTCTCTCAGTTTTAAAGCTATCGAATTGAAACTTTGCACACACCCTTCTTTCCTTTGCACGCAGTATATAAGTCGGAACGGCCGGGATCGGCCAACTATATCCTATAGCTGCCATATAACTGATTGATCGGAAATGCCATAACTTTCGTTTTTGTAAAGTTAGGAAGTTGGGATTTTCTATGGGTTTTATATTTGGCCAATCAATCCGACCTACCAAATTTCATAAGGATCGGCCGACTATATCCTATAGCTGCCATATAACTGATTGATCGGAAATGCCATAACTTTGGTGTTTGTAAAGTTAGAAAGTTGGGATTTTCTATGGGTTTTATATTTGGCCAATCAATCCGACCTACCAAATTTCATTAGGATCGGCCGACTATATCCTATAGCTGCCATATAACTGTTTGATCGGAAATGCCATAACTTTGGTGTTTGTAAAGTTAGAAAGTTGGGATTTTCTACAGGGGTTATATTTGGCCAATCAATCCGACCTACCAAATTTCATAAGGATCGGCCGATTATATCCTATAGCTGCCATATAACTGAACGATTGGAAATGCCATAACTTTGGTGTTTTTAAAGTTTGGAAGTTTGGATTTTTTATGAGTATTAAGAATGCATCATAGGAATAATTTTGGAGAATATAATTATAGAGTATTCTGCAAGGGTATATCAACTTCGGCTCCGCCCGAAGTTAGCTTTCCTTTCTTGTTTTTTTGTAACTTTGCCAAAATAGGTCGCACCGCCAAAAAAATGACGGCTTACTGCAGCTTAGAAGCTATACAATCGATTCCAGGTTGATTTGGCGTGTTTAACAAATATATAAAAACCAAAACAAACATTTTGGCCGAATAGTGTAATGTATATCTGTATTGACCTCCGTCTGACCTGCCCACAGTACTGGGAGAAGCGTTCGCCTCCGGCCATATCCTTTGGCATCCTGCACTCCCCGTACCTCAAGAAACCCCTGCCGGTCACAGTGCCGCAGCGGTGCACTCAGTTTTTGTTGGAGAATCGAGCAGACCGGGCCTACGACAATATCTGAGATTGGCCAAATTTTACGATTAAATTCAATTTATCAGCGCAGTACTTATACGTCTTTAATTTACATATTTTCTTAATAGATAAACCTCTCCCATGTGCCCGCCTACAGCTTTGGGATCAAGCACTCACAGTATCTGGGCCGCCTGAACGAGAAGAACGCCGAGTTTGACTACAGCTTTTCCGGAATCTGCTAGAGCCGAAGCGCTTCCACACCAAAATCCTCACTCTGCCCAAGACGGTCTTCGATGAACTGCTTCCTTACCTTAACTACACTACCTTCGCTACTCGTATACTCGGACTAACCTTAAGTTTTGAATGTTTCTGAAACCTATTTGTAAGCCGAAAGTGTTGTGGAATGTTACAATTGTATACACTGAAATAAAGAGATATTACTAATACAAGCTGGATGTTTTTATACCCGTTACTCGTAGAGTAAAAGGGTATATTGTATTCGTGCAAAAGTATGTAACAGCTAGAAGGAAGCGTTTCCGACCCTATAAAGTATATATATTCTTGATCAGGGTCACTAGCCGAGTCGATCTAGCCATGTCCGTCTGTCTGTCCGTCTGTCCGTCTGTCTGTCCGTCTGTCTGTCCGTATGAACGCTGAGATCTCGGAAACTATAAAAGCTAGAAGATTGACATTTTGCATGCAGATTCTAGGAGTTCCTACGCAGCGCAAGTTTGTTTCAAAAAGGTGCCACGCCCCCTTTAACGCCCACAATCGCTTATATACGATTTTAAAAATTTAAATATTTCGAAAAAGTAAAAATGCAGTTTTATTGTGTTTATCAATACCTATCGAAATGTAGAAGAAATGTTTCAAATCGGACCATTCGTTAAAAAATTATGCGTGATCAAAGTTTCTCTCTCCATCTCCCTCGCACTCCCTTTACCTGAGTAACGGGTATCTGATAGTCGGGGCACCCGACTATAGCGTTCTCTCTTGTTTATTTTAGATTTAAGTGGAATATTTAAAAGAATTTTTATAAGACTTGGGAATTTGTTAAAACAATATAGATTGAAAGATGAGAGCAATAAGAGCTTGAAAGGTATTAAACCTTTCTCTTTACTATTTTAAATTATCATTTCCATGCTAAAAATAATTGTTTTTACTGGTCCTATGATATCTGCAATACTATTATTGCCTTGGGAATTATTAAAAATAGTTTTAGAGCTTAAAAGGCATTAAAGAATTTTCCGTACTATTTTAAATTATAAATTTTTGCACGCTGGATTGCATTGTTAATTGTCAATTTTGCAAGCTGGATGTCAACTTAGTCTTAATCCATCTGATGATCTGCGATGAAGCAATTGCTTTTGCTGTCGGTTTTAGCCGTCAGTTGCCTTTTGGTAGTGGGTTTTAAGCGCAGGAGTAAGATTAGACTAGATCCTCGCAGATTGGGTCACAAATGTACTCCTGTCTTTCATTATTTTAGCGAAGAACAGCAACTGTCTGGTGATGAACAAGTATGCTAACGAAAGGCATTGTCGAAGACCACGTAGAATCTATTTCGTCTTTCATCGGGTGATATTCGATTGCATACAGGTAGCTCAAAATTCAATAAATTCATTGACCATTGATCCGTGAAGCTTTCCGCTCATTAAGGTGACATCCAGGTGCCACCATCCCTATAAGAGGAACGAGTTCGCAACTTTACAAAAGTGCCGTGATGGCTGTGCCTACCATATGAAAATACCAAAACCACCCGTACCAGGATCATCAACTGCAGCTCCTGTAGAAGAAGTAACAGAGACGCTTGCTCCTGAAGTGGAACGATCGGTGCCCCACAAAACTCCAGCTTAATGATTAAGCTGTGACCCAAAATTAGCCCCATAAGTATGGAGTCCAAGCAGCTAAAGTCTGTGCTTATGATAGCCATAATTCACCATTCTTTTGTATAAAAGGTTAAAGGGTTTCATTACAATAATATGCATTTTATTCGCGCAGTTTAAAAGCTCTCGGGCGACTATATCAACATTCTGAACTTAGTTGTTTTTGAAGATTTCTTTGTACTTCATACTCTTTTTAACCTAATATGAAAGTTCTATTTTATTTCGGGCCCATCCCTTAGTTGACTATAACCTGTTACTGTCATATACAAGCGCAGTAGAGGATATCATCAATTCGCTGTTACTGACAGCGTATTAAGACTTCGACGTGCCGAAGTATACTCTTGTTCTTGCATTTTTAGAGGGTTTTTTGTTGAAAATTTGGCAAAATAGGTCGCACAGCCAAAAAAAATGACTGTTTTGTGCATCTGAGAACCTATAAAATCGATTCCTGTTTGATTTGGGGAAATTTATTTTTTGACCGATTTTCGCATTTTCCATAAGGGGTAACACTTGATTTTTTCCGAATTTTGGGCCAAAATAAAATTTTTTAGCTGAGGATACCAATAGATTGGAAATTTTGTAACGAATTCAACGAGGTATGACATTCCAAGATCTGACCATTATTTCTAAGGGTTTTTATGAAAAAACCGAGAAATCGAGTTAGATTTTTCCGGATTTTGGCCATCGAAAACCAATATTTAAAAACACAGTTTTTGAGGGTTTTTTGTTGTAACTTTGCCAAAATAGGACGCACAGCCAAAAAAATGACTGTTCTGTGCAGCTGAGAACCTATACAATCGATTCCTGTTTGATTTGGGGAAATTTATTTTTTGACCGATTTTCGCATTTTCCATAAGGGGTAACACTTGATTTTTTCCGAATTTTGGGCCAAAATAAAATTTTTTAGCTGAGGATACCAATAGATTGGAAATTTTGTAACGAATTCAACGAGGTATGACATTCCAAGATCTGACCATTATTTCTAAGGGTTTTTATGAAAAAACCGAGAAATCGAGTTAGATTTTTCCGGATTTTGGCCATAGAAAACCAATATTTAAAAACACAGTTTTTGAGGGTTTTTTGTTGTAACTTTGCCAAAATAGGACGCACAGCCAAAAAAATGACTGTTTTGTGCATCTGAGAACCTATACAATCGATTTCTGTTTGATTTGGGGAAATTTATTTTTTGACCGATTTTCGCATTTTTCATAAGGGGTAACACTTGATATTTTCCGAATTTCGGGCCAAAATAAAATTTTTTAGCTGAGGATACCAATAGATTGGAAATTTTGTAACGAATTCAACGAGGTATGACATTCCAAGATCTGACTAATTTTTCCAAGGGATTTTATAAAAAAACCGAGAAATCAAGCTGGTTTTTCTGGATTTTGGCCATCGAAAACCAATAAATCACATTTTGTGAGGGTTTTTTTTTGTAACTTTGTCAAAATGGGTCGGACAGACAAAAGAACGACTGTTCTGTGCAGCTGAGAACCTATACAATCGATTCCTGTTTGATTTGGGGAAATTTATTTTTTGACCGATTTTTGCATTTTTCATAAGGGGTAACACTTGATTTTTTCCGAATTTTGGGCCAAAATAAAATTTTTTAGCTGGGAATACCAAAAGATTGGAAATTTTGTAACGAATTCAACGAGGTATGACTTTCCAAGATCTGGCCATTATTTCCAAGGGTTTGGATCCAAAAACCGACAAATATAGGTGTTTTTTCTGGATTTTGGTCATAAAAAAACAACATATTTTTTGAGGGTTTTTATACCCTTGCAGAGGGTATTATAATTTTGGTCAAAAGTGTGCAACGCAGTGAAGGAGACATCTCCGACCCTATAAAGTATATACATTCTTGATCAGGATCACCTCCTGAGTTTTCTACGCAAACTAGTCTCTCAGTTTTAAAGATATCGAACTGAAACTTTGCACACACCCTTCTTTCCTTTGCACGCAGTATGTATGTCGGAACGGCCGGGATCGGCCGACTATATACTATAGCTGCCATATAACTGATTTATCGGAAATGCCCTAACTTTGGTGTTTGTTAAGTTAGGAAGTTGGGATTTTCTATGGGTTTTATTCCAATCAATCCGACCTATTAAATTTCATAAGGATCGGCCGACTATATCCTATAGCTGCCATATAACTGATTTATCGGAAATGCCCTAACTTTGGTGTTTGTTAAGTTAGGAAGTTGGGATTTTCTATGGGTTTTATTTTTGGACAATCAATCCGACCTACTCTATCACTTCTTGGAAAACATTAACAGAGCTGTGTTGTGACTTTTATTTTTTGTAATGTTTTTCTACCGAAAATATTTTTTTTAATGGACGTTTCTTTAGAAAATCCCCGGACTACGAAAAAAAATAATAATTATCCGGAACTTGACTAGAGCGTATGTATATGTATGAAGCTGGTACTGAGGCGATCGTGATCATAGACAAAGATCAAAGAGCAAAAGATTATTTTTGAACTATTTATATGAGTATACATTTATACATTTATATGAGTCAACATCAACTTTGTGTTCGCAGCGAGAAATTATAAATCCCTATAAAAGCAGGTCTCGACTGGCATTAGTACATATAGTTATCGTCAGTCAATTTGTTCGGACGAAGTTTGTGAAAATGAAGCAGTTTACTTTTCTGTGCGTTATTTTGTTACTATACAGTTTGGAGAGTGTAACAGCTAGCTCGATTTCTTACAATGAACAACTTTTGATGACGGTAACGAACAAGTTGCTAGAGATATACGACGAACAATTAGACGAAAGAGTGCAATGGAATGATCTCAACGAAGCTGTTGAAAGCATTCAAGAACTATTCAAGGGTTATCAAGGCAAGGCCAAAGATAATATGAAAGAATTACTGGATGAAAACAAGCAATCTCACGATGAATATTTGCTTGCTGTGCATCCGTTATTCCAATGGTGCGTAGAGGCTAAACACTATTTTCCGTATACTGTTATAGTAATTCAGAGACCAAACTTATCGGACAGTGTTCGATCGAGCATAAGAGACAGGACCAAATACGAACTTCTCAGAGGTGTTAATTGTTCGCAAGACTCCATAAGTCACATAAAACGAGCTATACAACATATGTCGAAATTAGGGTTATTACTTAATGTAACAGAAATCCAATTCAATGAAGATTTTCGATCGAACGGTTTTTATGACATTGAACGCAGTAAACTGGTCAACAAAATAAGCAGCCTCAAAGCGAAATCAAGTTGGATTGCTGCTCTAGGTTCTGCGGTTGGTCAAGCATTGGGCTTTGTCACAGATCCAATACCAACGCTAGAGCAAAAACTAATAATAATTGACGAGTTTTACATAAAGCTGCGAGATGCTTTGGCTCGTGCTAAGCAAGAATGCCGTAAGGTCGATGAGGCTTTGAAAACGGAGCTGAAAGAAATCATTGAACTAGCTAATGACATTCAAACACCCCAAGTAAGTTTTTCGTGCATTTCGCGAAATGATGAGACGATTTCAAATTAGTTTAGAAAAAGGATGTGTGGGCCTCAGTGTCACTTTGGTCACTTTAACAGGCTACTCAATACCAGACACAGCAATATAATAACGCTTTAATAATTCAAAATATTTTTTTCATTTCACAGCCCGATGATATGATGATTCCGGAATTCAGTAGTTTGTTTGTCTACACGTTGACTAAGCTTTCATGTAAGAGTTACGTCACGTACGGGAAGCCGTTGCCAAGAAGCTATCAATTACACCAACCAACTATGACTTGAAACCAGGCATGGTTTGAATGAAAATTTCAGAAATGTAAAATTTGTTTCCAAACATGCACAAAAAACTGTTGAAAAAAACAAAAAAATTTTCAACATCTATACGAGCTAATCTACAATCGGAAGCTTCGCGAAACTGTTGCAAATTGTCTCGTCAATTTATTTGATACGCAAACATTTTTTCTTATATGTATGAACTTTTTAAGCCAAATAAAGAGATTTCACTTTCCGACCCTATAAAGTATATATATTCTTGATCAGCATCACCAGCAGAGTCGATCTAGCCATATCCGTCTGTCCGCCTGTCCGTCCGTCCGTCCGTTTCTACGCAAACTAATCCCTCAGTTTTACAGTTATCTGTTTGCAACTTTCCCAAAAGTTGTCTTTCTATTGCAGGTAGTATATAACTCGGAACGAGCCGGATCGGGCGACTATATCATATTGCTGCCATATAACTGAACGATCGGAAAAGCCATAACTTTGGTGTTTTTAAAGTTAGGAAGTTGAGATTGTCTATGGGTTTTATTTTTGGCTAATCAATCCGACCTACCGAATTTCATAAGGATCGGACGACTATATCCTATAGCCGCCATAACACTGATTGATCGGAAATGCCATAACTTTGGTGTTTATAAAGTTAGGAAGTAGGGTTTATTTTTGGCCAATCAATCCGACCTACCAAATTTCATAAGGATCGGCCGACTATATCGTATAGCTGCCATATAACTGAACGATTGGAAATGTAATAACTTTGGTGTTTTTAAATTTAGGAAGTTGGGACTGCATCATCGCCCGAAGTTAGCTTTCCATTCTTGTTTTTGAATGCGCTTAGTTAAAAAATTACTTTTATTTCACATAAGAAATCCTATTCTTTCTTCTCTCTTTAGAACTGAACATAATGTTAAAATTATTTTTTAACCCCCAAAGTTAAAAGCCTTAAGTATACCAATTGAAACAGCAAATAATAAATTCGGTATATTTTCTTTATTTATCGTGTTTGTGCTCCTGAATTACCAATTTTATTGCATTCGTATTTACAACTACAAGATTTGCAAGACTCATAATATAGACATAAGACCCTGGGTCGTTCCTCCTCCTTAGTTCTTGGTGAGTTCTATTTCGGCATGGTAGCAGGACTTGCCCTGGAAAAGAACCACAAAGTTGGCAATAAAAAGTGGGTTAAGTATGGGGACAAACTCACGGTGTCATGCTTGATCTCCGCATCGATGATCAGATGGCCGCGGGCCATGCCCAACATGGCCTTGTACTTGCTGAGATCCACGGTGTGGTCGTTGGCGCACACCTTCTCCTCGGCCACCGGACAGGAGGAGGGTGCTCCGAAGAGCTTCAGCATGTCCTTGCCTTCGGAAGAGGCCTGGTCGATGGCGGCGCAGAGGTCGATCTTGCCCTCCTTCAGCACCATGCCATCCTTCTGCACCTTGAACTTGGTCACCGCGGTTCCAAAGGCCTTGTTGGAAATGCAGCCCGAGGGCACCAGCTCGCACTTCTTGTTCAGCTTCAGGTTGAAGTCACTGCCCACCGTCATGATGGCATCCTCGCCGGCGCAGTTCTCCATCTTCACCAGCTTGGCCTTGTAGCCGTTCTGCAAAGGATAAAATAACCTGAGGATTAGGTCTATCCCGAAACATATCCTAAACTATCCTTACACAGGCAAAGGCAGCCTCAAAGGCCACACAGCTGAACAGGAAAAAGCAGATACTTCGCAGCATTTTGTACACTTGGAGTTTTCAGATGCGTTTGGGAACTCCTCGATGGCCCAGCCCCTATTTATATGGAACTCTTGGTGGCCCCGTTTTATGGATATCCACAATTATTTGCGCATTAAGCGGTATTTGGCTGCGGCGATCAGTGATCGTTCGGCTCAATTGATCGCTGAACCAGCACTGGGCAGATGGTCATCCATTAGAGTTCTCTAAATGCGGGAATTACGGAACTCGATGGCTCGACATTTTTAATTGCCCCTCGACATGGTATTTTTTGTGTTTAGCGTGTCGACACAATTCGATCTCTCGATCTACCGAACTTTGTTTGCACCCAAAACCAAATATGTATAAAAGCCGAGTCATTCAAAGTCAGTTAAAATCAGTTCTCTGTAATTGATAACTGGCCATCAATCTAGTTAGCCACCAACTGCACTGGCTTGTTGCAATTTGTATATGATGCAATTGTTTTAATATTCGTAGATGTAGATTATTAGTAAATGAATATGGATATATCCAAGCCTTTGTTGGCAATTTGAACAGCAGGCATTTGGTTTAAGACTGAAACTTTACTTTGACTTTCAGTATGGGTCTAATAATACCACTTTTGTGGGACCAATTTTATTATAAATATTCTAAAAAATATAAATAATATGCTTTGATTTAATAACTCTTTTTCCGGCTTTTTCAAATGTGTATCCAATTTAATTTAAAACCTAATTACAAGAATCAAAATATTTGACAAAAGGACTTCCTAAAATATTGCCATTTATTATATGTACGAAAATTGTCGTGCCAAACAAATATATTTATTAAACTGTGGCTTATCTTATTATGTATTTTCTTTAATTTGTTTGTAAATTGTATTTTATTTTTCTGGGTTAACGAAATGTCCCTGAAGGTAAGTAGTATTCTGTTCGCGATCGCGAATGACATATGCAAACGGATGCTCTGCGTTAAAATCCCATTCGCATTGCCTGCAAGGTCTATCAACTGAGGATTATAAGAGATGTTGCAAAAAATTAAGACCATTAAACAAAAAATAAGACCATTAATACCTGGAACAGTAGGCTCCTCTGCACCCTCTTCATCAAGCTCTATAAAGGCCTTTTGGAAGACCTTGTTGATCGGGACCTTTGACGAATTCAAAAGACCACTTAAGTCCGCAGAGCCTCCAAATGTATCTCGCATGCCCATCTATAAGTACAAAATATAAAAGTAACCATACACTTTTTAGTTCACACCCACCTTTTCAAGAACTCTACTTAGATCTGCGGAATATTCGATTTTAAACTTGGGCAGTTTTAAGACCACCTTCTCTTTTTCGGGACGACTGTAGAAGTAGGTTCCAATCTTGGGCACAAGTTTCTTTAAGCCATCGACTTTAAAGGGCAAAAAGATGAACATGGATAGGCTGGAATCCCGGAAAGGTAGCTCGATCATATGGGCATCTAGGCGAAAACTAAGTTTCACCTCAAAATAGCCAATTAGAGTCATCATCTCGACAGGCACGCGTTTTTTGGCAGTGACATGGAAATCGGCAATGAAAGTTTTCTTGGGGTCGAACTTGTACTGCCACTGGGCTTTAAAATTTATACCACTCAAGAGTGCCACCTTTAGATCCGCTCCCAAATCTTTGGGTGAAACTATATCCCGGATCCGGCCGCTCGTCTGATCGTTTACCCACTTGTTGACAATCGAAACTGCATTGCCGAGACTTTTAAAGTTAATAGTTTTGGCTTCGGCCTTAAAGGAATCTTTAACCAGCTTATTATACTCCGAGTTTAACTGGTATTCATCGCTGACGTATATGCGGTTGGCCAAATCAAGGATGGCTAACCTCTTACGTCCTTCGAGATTGGTAAGGAGTTTCTTGTACTTTTCGGCCACTTCCTTTTTATCGGCGGGCAGTTTCAGTACCTTTCTCAGTTCTTGGGCTGTGGATCCCCCAGCTCCCATGTAAACCATACGCATCAAGATTTCAATGGAAATGGGCGAAGTAGCTAGGTTTTTATCCAAAGTATCAGTGGCCAAAATTTTGTAAAAGTTACTAGTGAATTGGGCAGTCACCGAAGTGCCCAACAACATTAAAACTAAGGAAAAATTAGTTAGTTACTTTCGAAAGAAATGAATTTGTCCACTTACATAAATACTTCATTTGGAACGCTGTTGCTAACTAAAAGTAAACCTTAAAGTTGCGAGATATTTTACTCGGTATCATAATAAAGTTAAATTCGTCATGGAGTTTCATTAGATAAGCATATATATACTTTACCCTAACAAATAAGATTTAAAAAGGTTATGCAAAAATAAGTTATTAAATAAAAAGTCCTTCTGTCTATACTACCTAATTATATTTTTGAATAAAATATAAAAATTACACAAAAATAAAATTGGCGCAGTCATAAAATCATTGAAAAATATAAACACTTTATAATTATTCTTTGTGAACTTTGGTTTATAATAAAAATAATTACTAAATTACAAAAAAGTTAGTTTTAGATAAATTAAATTTTGCCCTTTATAAGTAAATTTAAATCCGAAAAATGTAACCGCCAACTAACTTATACCGCCATCGAGGAATTCTGGCAGCATGGACGCAATCTTTTTTCACAGTGTGGCCACATGTGAACGTTTTTAAGCGTTCTGGCAACGCTATTTCAACTGCGTGACTCCATTCAATTTTTAGCTCGGTCTTTAGTTCATTATAACTTTTCGAGCTGTTCAGACGTCAGAGCGGAATATTCAATCGCGCGCTTTCGACTTTTTCAGTGGCAAACTGTTTAAACTTTGCCGACGACGCAGTTTACGTTCTGTTTTTTAAGAGCCACAAATATAAATAAAAGTCCGCCAAGCAAGAAGTGTTGAACAAAAATCCACAACGTAAGTGGAAATTTATGAAGGTTAAAATATAATATAGTATATATGATATCAAACCGAAACCAAGTCGTGCCGTATATATATGTGATGCATCAAAGGTGCTAAGCAAATGAATCCGCATTTGAAAGTTTAGATATCGATGAGAGAGAACCCACACCTCTAAAAAAAAAGTAAATAACAAAAACACAGATACAAATACGAAATCGAAAACCAATACAAATGCAGCCACAGGTGGTTGACAAGAGTAATATTGAATTGTAAACCCAAAATCGAATTGTGTGCTCGTGTCAATGCTGTTGCTCAATTCAATGCAATTGAAACAGCCGAAAAAGTCGCTGTGCATATAGTATTTCAATACCCATACTATTATATTGATTGTGTTTCCATTATCAGTGACCTTTTTAGCTGTGCGTGTGTGTGTGTGAGTGGTATTATCAGAGCCTGGTGTATTATTCATTGATAAGTGTTAAGTATACAACATGTGTGCGTATGGCTAGGTTGAATACGTCAACGGCATTCCAAGTAAACGACACCAAAAACACCGTAGCCAGGTATTCAAAATCATGATTCATCGCTGATCGTGACTGTAATTGTTATGTTTTTTTTTCCCGTTGTTGTTGCCATGCTGCGTAAGACTACAAATATTGGTAAATCTACGATTTGTCTTACTCACTCCGCGGTTTCCAGAAACTCCCGAATTGTTTGTGTGAAAAAGTGAAATACAAATTAAGAATTCACCTTTCTTTTGTTTCGATGGACAGTGGAGACTGTATTGGAGTATCTATACGCGACTTTCTTAAACCGGTTCCCTCATCGGTTTCTTGACCAAGCCAAACTGTTGATACATTTCCCTCAGCGCGTGACTCAGTATCCAGAAGTTCCGATGGAATCACAGGCCCATAATTCATTGCCTCCAATTGGGCCACTGCAATTGCTCACTGTGCCCAATTTGTTTATTAAATACAGATACCCCACACTGCTCCATTTATCTCAGCTGACCACTTCAAAAGGCTGGCCAGGCTGTTAATTGTTGTTCTGCTGGCCGTCAATCACTTTTCCTGACTGGAGTGGAAAATAAAGGAAAAACAGCCAGGAGTTCGAGTCATAAAAGTGTCAGCGTGGCCGGGAGGTATAGGTGGTTAATCGGACGGATAAATATTTACTGGATTTCCCCCCATCGCAAATTCGCAACATCTAACAACTGTTTGGTTAAGCCTGCGAAAATCAATGGCCATAAGCGGTTCTTGGAAAATGTCCGTCTCACTTGCTACTTGCCACTTGCCACTTGCAGCTCTTTTTCACACCTTTCCTTTATGCACATGGCACATTAATCAGAAGGGGGCTTATGGCCAACTATCCACCAGATACGCAGATACCCCCTCCCCCTTCCCCCTTGCTGGTGTCAAATTAAAGTTACTTTACGGCAGTTGATTACGCTGAATTAAGGAGTTTCATTACGTATAAATTACTTTGCCTGCACTGCGCAAAAACCAATATTATTTGTTTGGAAAACTATTTTTGTATTAATTTACACAATAAATACAGAAGCGGAACACTTGTCAGTAGTTTATTAAAACTCTGACTCGCCTTTTCGGTGGCAACGATAATGTGTTTCAAGCGATTTGAATTCTCCAGAGGCAGTAAATATGAAATTACTTAATTTTAATCTCAAGAAGCTTGAAGTCCACTGGAAGTCTGGCTTCAATTCATAAAAAACCATATATAAAAAGCAATTTCCGTCACATCATTTTTGGATGGGGTTGTAAAAAAAAACAATAACGAAAACACAGATAATATTTTAGCAAGGAATGGTTTATATTTTAGTTTTTTATTATTATTATTCTTTATTTCTTTCAGTTTACGGAATAAGCTCAATATAATTTTGAGAAAAGCACTAGATAAACTCCTTAACTCTTTGGGGAATTGGCACATAAATAACCATTTGAGATAATATCTGTTTAATTGAATTTGCCGGTTACCAATAGTCATAAATAAAAGCCATTCGGCGGACAATCTACGACAGTCTCGCCCAACATTGAACACGTTTTCACACCACTTTGTGCGGTTTGTTTGGCATTCTATGAATGGACACCTTCGACTCTTTACATCCGCTGGTTGGCTTGTTGGCTGTCTGTGTCAGAACGTAAATAATAAATGGACAACGGACAACAAATATTTTTGGCCAGGCCATCGGAACTGTCTGCATGGGGCGTAAGCGTTTAACGATGGCCTGGCCATAAATCTGGCAAAATCGCTGAAAAGGCACTTGGCTTTCACCTGGTCCCTAGCTCTAGAATAGAACCCATTCATTAGCTCAGCAATTCCCGTTTGCAAACTTAACCACCAGCCTCATAAACTTACTCAACTGCACTTTAGAAAACCAGGAAAATATGTATATGTATATACATAGCTGCATTCTTGTTTCCGCCGGCGATAAAATTAAAAATGAACGCAACCGATTCACCCAATTATGTCCGAAGGAAGAAATGCATTGGGTAAACAATAAATTGAGCAATCTTTCATTGATGGCAGCGTGTTTTGAGGTCATGGCAAGGCACGAAATGGGCCATATACTCGGCTATATATATATGTATATTTATTTATTAATCGAGCAAAACCCAAAACAAACAAATTAAACACTTGTCGGCTATTAAGTGAACGCATATAACATTTCTATTTATTTCCCAGCAGCAGCTGGCCAACAACTTGTTGTCGCCACGCGTTGTAGTTGTATAATATCTGGGCAGAATGCCAGCTATTCAATTTCACTGGCTGCTTTTTATTTTGGTTTTATTAGATTCGCAGTTCATGGAAAACAAAAGAAATCATTTTTCCCAAGTCTTACAACAGGCGTTGAGATTAAGGGTTACATAAGTAAAAAGTTTCTCAAATGACACATCTAAAAGATACATTACCTGCTCCGGTAATTTCACTTTTATTTCATTTGACTTTCTTTGCCGGTTATGTAAATGTTGCCAAAAAAAAGTACATTTAATTCATTTTTCTTTTTTTGCTAGGGCATTATTTAACTACCTGCAGAAAAAGCCAGAAAGTACGTATATTTCCTGGTCTTATTGTAGCGCCATTTAATAGCCGTTGTTAAGATAGGCCGTTGCGAAACGCTTATCTAAACAGACCGATGATAAGGTGCGTGGTTAGAATCAGTATCTGTCAGATACTGTATCTATCTGCTATATACCCGCAGCTCAGCAACAGCTTGGCTGTGATTATAAGGGCTGAACTTATCTGGCAGCTTCTCGGGGACTTGCTACTGCCTTCTTTCTCCTTCCAGTTGCCAATTTATCAAGGCGTCACTTTTGTTTGTCTCTCGGATGTTGTTTATGCATTTGTCTTGCCGATTAGCGCTGCCTGCTGCTATCGCTTCAAAAATGCATTACATCTGCGACCAGAAGCCCGTATGCCAATCCTCAGCTGGGAAATGTTAGAGGGGCGTGGACGGGGGCGTGGTTGACAGCAGAAAAAAAAGAGCCAACACATAAATGGCTAAACTCGCTCTTGTACGAAATGTGTGGGTGGAACTCGCAGCAGGAGCTGCACTTGCCCAAAAAAGTACAACAAAAAATGTCAATAAAAAAGAGCAGGCGGAGAGGGGGTGTGGGGTGCTGCGACCATATATCAATTAATTAAAGTCGGACAAGAGACATAAAACAAGATGTTGGTGAATTGCTCCCGCTGATAACTCCCCCACAACTAAAGTGACCTCGATGTAATGGCGCCAAAACGTCTGCTTAATTAATCAATTCGAGATCTATTAATTCTGCAGACTTTGGATTGACAAATTACCTAGGAATTGTCATTAACTTTTACTTGTCCACAATTTAAAGTAATTAATGTATTATTATGTAGAACTTTGGTTAGTAAATACTATTTTCGGAATTATATTATATTTTATAGTACACTTGGATTTTAATGGACCTTCTTAGGTTTAATTTAATATATAATATTTTACTACAAGCAAATAGATTAGGAAAACAACAAAATTTGCACAATTTCTTCAATTAGGCGAGAAAAACAAGCTTGACTTAGTCAGAATTCTTTTGTTATAAATTATGTCACCCCAAAACTTTGTCGAAAGTTTTTCTTTCTTATGAAATAAGTTTCTGTGCAAAAGTAATTTAGGTTGTGCTTTAGTATGGTTAAAGACGACATTTAAATTCCAAATAAAATGCGTACCCTTACCAATTCGTATGACATCCGTAGGTTTCATTAGCGTTCCTGGTTAGCTCACGCCTACTTATGGCCATTTTTAGTCCTAACGAAAGACACTTGGTTAATGGAATTAACTGGCATTCCCTGTAATGAAACATTACCGTGTCACCATTCCCGCAATCATTAAAAGACACGCAAACTGTGCCAAAGTCGCGTCATTATGCAGAACGATGATTAGACATTGGTTTGGGCCAAAAAGCGAGAGTTGGCCCAAAGCCCACACGCGGTTTTTGGCCTGGGTGGGCAGATTGGGCCCAGATTTCGATAGCGTTGTTAACAGATGGCTGGCAGCAATTGACAAATAGTTTGATTTATGAGGCTGCAAATCTTAGCTTGGCCCAAATTGCAAATTTCCATTTGCCTGCGTGCCGCTTTTTGAATTTTTAATGAAGCCAACCAACCCACACCCCCTTTTTCCCGCTTCCAGGCAATGCAGATGCATAAAAATATTTCCTGATATTTCGCATTCCTTCGGCTTGTTGCTCATTATTTTTGGCCAAGAGCCAGCGGCATGTTTGCAATTGCAATCACAGAATTTGTGTACGACCAAACTTTCCATTAAGATGTTGCGGGCCAAATTTCAATCGAAATGAAAAACAAAAGGCGCTCGACGAAAAACCACTTGACTCTTGCACAAACACACGCACCGACACAAAGGTCAACGGGGAAAATCAAATAAAAGCCAGGAAAACTCAGGCGAAAGAGTCGTAAATTTCCATGGGCGTAGGGAAAAACAAAGGTAATCCAAACAAAGAGACACTTCTCCCGGCTCC